TTTGTGATAGAACTGAATGAGAGATTATCATTACAAGATAGCACAACCCACCGTAAAACTACATTGTTTGTGCTGTATTTTACTTCAAAAACGTCAGTTAGGACTTCTCGCTGTGTCGAACATTACTTTTATATTGGGACAGATGACATTTAAGCCAGCGGGTAAGAAATTGTCAGAGGATACAGGTATTCTATATCTACTTCATCACACGGAGTACTCATGGGTCAATAAAATAGTCGCACATTATTTTTAGTGACTAAACACAACACTATTTATTAAGATATGTGACAGTCTATGTTGCGAGAAGATAACAAGTATATATATTATTCATGCAGTGATTACTTTCAGTAATCGGGATTTAATTCAATTTCAGTTATAGACGAACGTGAAATGTATAGTTATCAATTCATTATTCTTTGTACGCGTACATTCAACTGATCTCGAACATAAACACGATCCAGGTCACGCGATTTGACATTTAATAGACAGCGACAAAGCACCCGAGGAGATACGGAAATCCCTACATTTCGCCCATTTTTAAGTGTTTTTATGTTATATATAACCAAAACAGCCACGTGCCTCATGTTCGTACTCGCTCCGTACGTGTTGCACGTTCGTATTCATTTAAGACGATTACCTGGCAATATGGGCGATTGTACAACTTGCATTCTCTATTTCATCATTCTTTGTATCTATGGGTTTATTCCTTTTGTTCATCTTGAATAGTCGTCGTTGTGTAGCGAGTGTGTGCGTGTTTGTCGTTTCATTGCTACAACAAAGATGACAATATGTTAATTTCTTGACAATATACCCATTGGCACGTGGAGACAGATTGTTTTGAAATAGAAATTATTTAAATAATATATTTCCTTCAGATTAGTATTATATAGGGTATGATTTACCAAATAAATAGTCCGATTTTCTCGTGAGGTTCAATATGCAAATGTAAATCTAAGTGTTAAATTATGATAATGTCATCGCATTAATCCTATAGTCTCCTTGGCAACGATGAATGTGTGCGTATGTGAAGACAAGGCAAGGCGACATATTTTTACAATTATTTGGTCAATGTAATGAAAATAACGTTTTGATTGTAAGAATAAATGTGACCTTTCATGTCCAATTTTTGTGTCGATTTCATTCTTCCCGTGAACACATGACAGCTCTATGATTACACAAACAAAGTTAGATTCTAAAAAGTTTGCTTGTAATTCATCTATCCATTAGGTTACACTACGTGTCGACACGTACCATAATGCTTAGGTGTCCGATTAAGTCATCAACACACAGGCTTGTTCGAAGCTGGTTCATAACGTACACGGTCACCGATGTGCCCGTACAAACAAATGAATGCAATTTTTTTCAGTTTTCTATCATTTTGCCGTGTATCCATATGAAAAGGTCTTGACAGGGTGGAAGTTGTCAAACAAGCGACTGGAAAGCCTTTCCCATGTCCACCCATAACACTAGACTTTAGCATATTAGGATTATTTTCGCAATTTTATATGTGGATATGTGATGTGTGAGTATTAGGCAACTAAAAACATATATCAGCAGCTTATCCACCTTATTAATATAACCTTATTATTCTACAACCCCCCCCCCAAGAATACATCATGGGAATGGCGAAATCCAAAAAAATTCGAACAAAATCAGAGAACTTCTTTGTGTGGAGTCCGGTCAAAACCTTGTGTTAACCATGTTTGTTTTTATTATTAGAGGGGCTTTGGAATTCGCATTTCTTAATATGATTGGATGAAAATACCGCAAAATTACGGCACGCTGTAACTTATGGCGTTACGATGACAGTTGTATAATGATATATTATATAATTTCTGATATTATTTCTGATGTTATTATTTCTGACAAATGTGTAGAGAATTTGTTTTTGGAATATGTTGTTCGATTCTAATTTGCATAATTGAAAACCCAGTATTTAAGGTGATTTAATTGCTTAAATGCTGCCCTGTCGCATTGGCTTTACAAAACGGTGATTGAATCTGTGAATACACAATGAAACTAATGCGAAGAGTATACATACTGGCTACTCATTAACAATAACATTAACCAATCACTGAACAGTGTTTTCCGCATATACAAAGAGACGTTCTCATTTTATTTGTCTTTAGTAACACATTGCTAGTAAAACCAACTGATACTCGAGCAACCTGGTGTCCGATGATTACCGAAGCCTAACTATATAGCTATGTAAATCTCTAGAAACCATTAGGTGACTGTCTATGTCTTAACCCTTCTATTAAGATCACGGTTGAGAGACTTCGTTGGAGATAACATCACTCCCAGGGCTTTAAAGCATTCATTATTGTCTAATCATGCATGTGCTGCAAAAGCTTTCAAATTCCCATCACTCCACACTTAGAAAATTGATCGACGTTAAGGCCGTAATAGATCTAGTAGCAGTATAATATTATAATATACCTTAAAATATTGAGATAAGATTCAGTTAACGCAATTGCGTGTAGCACTACATATGTATAGGTGAGAGTTGCCCACATAGCGTGTCGCATAGTACTATATTTTGTCGTAAACACACATAACACATCAATTCAAATGTTTCTCGCTGGTCTAGAATCAAAATTATTCAATGCGAGAGACGTTCAGAGATTTTACTAATGCATAGGCTCTGATTCCCACAAAACGGAATGTAGCTTATATCTTCTTGCCAAACACATACATATTATTACATTCACACTGATATTATAGCATTATATTATTGCATTGTACTGTTAGACAAGTGATAAAGTTTATATTTATTTCGCCGACGTTAATTCCACGTAAATTGATGGATGATGTCATGTGCTATACATTGCAAGTAGATTATAAACTAGTTCATACGGTCTCATGCATAATCAAATATGCTAACAACTGACTACTGTAAAATGACTGATTTTCACTGGGCTTAAATTTCGCTGATTTACAATTTCAGGCATATTCAGTTGGTTTTAAATTCACGGTTTTATCATTTAGATAATGTGTTCTATGCTAAATTTTACATATTCACTGGGTTTTAATTTAACGCATTTTCCAGTCAGCGAAAACCCAGTGAATAATTAATCCTTTTACAGTAGTTTAGTTACTAATGTCCAAACGCTATTGTGTATACTTGTTCTTGTTTGAACATCGACAAATAAAAATATCGTATTATTACGAATCACCGAGTCAACAGTCAACAGTTAGTCAAGCCATTCATGTAACCTGGTCCCGAAAATTTTCTAGAAACCTACTAATTTATGTTCTGTTGCTCATTGTGTTTTTTGGGCTTTTTAATTTCATCCGTCGTAAACGTAACATCTTTTGACTATGACTTGTCTGGACTATTCGACCGTAAGTCAGTCGAATGTTCGAAATCTAACCAAAGTCAATACTGCTTTTGCATGTCCCCGTATTCTCTGGCGTCTTTAATAAGACATACCTTTCTAAAGATGTCAACATTCCTGTAAAGTGTTAGCAAATTTAAAATAATGAGATATTATAATCCAATCTATCATTGTCGACGCAGTAATGGAAATGTCACCAGACGCATATGACAATCTATTTACTAGGTAATACATTGTACGTGACGATAAAATTACCACACAAAAATGCTTGGTCGTTTTGCGAATGCAAAACTGCAATATAAAGTCTACCCATTCATAGAAGACCACTTTAGCCATTTTGTTTGGGCAACGTCATAAAGGTATTTTGTGGGATGGTTTATGTATTAAGACAAACCATGGCTATATTCCGTACTATATATTAATAGCAAATGTACGGTTTCTTCACATAAATATACTAACAGCAATTCAGTGCTCAATCATGTCACATGTAATATGATTGTAAATAACCAGAACTGATAGTGGATGAAACACAGTTAATGTCAATGTCTCTTGAGTACAGACTAAAGTAATCAGCACTGGATATATTTCTGTCAGGAGTAGTACAGCCTAGTTTGCCTTTAAGCTACATAGTATAATCTATTTC